GGAATTTCTGTGTCTAGGGTGCCTGGGGCTCACTAATTTACCTAGCACGTTTGGAAGATCTCTCACACTTTCAAAATTCTCCTCTACTCAGAAATAAAACTTTTGACTTGTGAATATGTCTGAGTACATCTCAGTGTAGTAGTTGCTGCTTTCTTGAGCAGAGAAGCTAAGATGCAATTTATGGTGCTGGCTGATGGCTGTCCATATTCAAATGACTATTATAAACACAGCCTCCGGACTACCTAGGAAACTTTTACTGTGGCTACACAAATTAAAACAAAGAACTGTCCATAATATCGTTTTCTTGGCATGTCAAAAAAGGCAGTTTTGCACAAATCTTAACATTAAATATTTCCTTAATGCATCAACTTTACCCACTCTCTACAAGTAAGCACACTTTTCTAATGGAATCTCACTTTTGCCTGCTAGTCTGAAGCCCTGCAGACAGGACATTATCTTTTCCATACATGAACTATGAGAGGGTTGTTTGTTTGTTTGTTTTGGTTTTTTTTTTTTTTGGGGGGGGGTGGTTTTTTGTTTGTGTGTTTTTTTTAATTGCAAAATTAAATTGCAGACTTTTAAGGAAGCAAAATTCCTGTAATATCTCTTTTCCTCAAGCTATGAGCAGCAGCACTGCTACTGATATTATTGCTATAAAAGAAAAAGCTCTCAGAAGAGCACATATATTTTTCTTTATTGTAGTTCTATACACTTTGTCAGCCTCTTGTTTATTTTATTCAGTATATATCCTTTATATCACAAGAAATAAAATGTACCCGTACAGACCTTAACCAGAGCATTGTGCTGAGTTTAGTAAATCTGTTTAAGAAATACCTGTCTGTGACCAAGAAAAAGATAATGATTTCCACTTTCTTAAATTTTCTAGAAATTCAGGAAGTTGATTACACCTAGCTCAGATCTGAAAATGAGAGGGAAACTTGGAGGAGGAGCCTACACTGCAGCAATAAATGACTGCGATGCCAAACTGAAAGGAGATGGCACCATTTCAACCATCACAGAAAAGGAGACGCATTTCTGAAAGAACTATCTTTTTTGTTTTGGTTTGGGTTCTGTTTCTTTTTTTGTATAAATAAATAAATAAATTCACTTAATTATAGAGGCTGGCTTGTTTTGCACAAAATTTTATTAACCAGTTAATTTTAAAGTGAAAAATCGTATACTTGTTTAAAAGTGGTTTTTTTTTTTTTTTTTTTTAAATGACTATAAGTAATGATTATGTGAAAGAAAAAGAAATAGTATTATATGGTATGTTAGTGATGATTTCTTGTAATATGGTATTTTCAGTAAATGTTTTTTTTAGAAAGTAGAGGGCCCTGTATAATGTGCTGTAAAACTTTTCTACTTTGATTTCTGTCAGATGTAATGTTGTATAGATATAAGCATTCTAATCTGTAAGCATTTCAGACCATTTCAGCTTTTGATGTATGTCTATAAAGGGGACCGGAATGTCCTTTTGTTTATTCTGGAAGAAATTGTGAGGGGCGAAGGAGATGCCCTGTAACTGCTGTTGCATGTTGCTGTCTAAACGTGGGCTGAATCCAAAGTCCACTGAAAGCAGAAAGAGCCTTTCCAGCAGAGCCTGGTGGCTTTTGCATCAGTTTGTGTGTGATTCAGCCTTGCTTAGGTCAGGGCAGCTGCAAGATGAAGCTTGGACCTAACAAAGCTATTCTTTCAGGGCGAGTTTTGTGAAGCTGTCAGGAAGCACCACCTTGGCTGCTCTTGTTGCCTTCCTTCCACCCTCCACTTCCTTCAACAGGTCTAAAAATGTGGTGGAATGGGCCCACTTCTGAGTCACTGTTTTTCTGGAGATTGGATAGGGAATATTTCTCAAGAGCTATGAATTTTGCTGCTCTTGTAAGTTAATAGTCTTTAAGATGATGTGTACTGTTCCAGGAGACTTCTGAAACTCCATTTTCTTCAGTGTCTGAGTGGCCAGTACTTCATTCTGGTTGATGCTTCCCATCCCCTGAAGCGAAATGTGTTTGTCTGTGTTTGTACAACAGGAGATCAAGGTTGCTCCATATACATGGAGATGTTTTGAGCAAAAAAGAGATTAAGAGCACTGCATAGCTTGGTCTCTCTGTCTATGTCTCTGCTGGTCTGTCTGCACATCTGTTCATTCCCCTCAAAAGAAATCAAGGATCCTGTAATGACAATGTGTAGCTCTACACAGCTTTTCTCATCTTCAAGGTACTTTCTAGATACTCTGAGTAGGTCCTGAATGGTATCAAGGATTACAGTGAAGTCAGGATAGGAGCTTATTTGGTGGGGGGCTGAAGTAATTGGTCCTTAATCACTAAAAGATTTCCAGGAGGTCATTTATATACGGTGCAGATGAAGAAAACGAGACAAGGATGTTCTGACTTCTGTTTTGCAAAGGGAGCAGTGTTGGGTTTCTGATATCAGGCCTTTTGGTTCTATCAGTTGTATGAACAGACTCCCTCTGATTTAAACAGATTTTGTATGTGAATCCAGCTGATGGATGGTTGTTACCATGAGGTATGCAAATGGCAGTCCCACTATCAAAAATCTCTAGACTATCTCTTGAACTGTTTTTTTTTTTTTTTTTTTTTTTCCCCCCCCTGCCAATATTTCAAACATTATTATTTGTTCTGGACAATTATCTTTTTTTTCTTGTCCTGTCTTTTTTTTATTCCATGGTTGTATGAGAAACCCGTGGAGGCACATACTGTCCTACAATGCACAGTATTTGATGGGGAAGACAAGCAACAGCCTAAAACAGCTCAGAAGAAATGCCATAAAAATCTCCTATCTTCTCTGAAATTCAAAATCACCAAAGCTCAAATACCACCATCTGGAGTTATTTGAAACAGGAGTGGCTGCTGGCTTTCTACAGAGGAAAACACTTCACTAGAAGTCACCAAGTGTACCTTAATATGACATAGAACCCTACACATAGTCAGCATTTCTCTGAGATTTGACAGTTAACTCTTAAAAAAGCATTTTCATAGCATCACTATCTCAAGTCAGATCGTTAAATCTAATAGATCTATTTAATTTTACTTTATTTTCCTTGTATTTTTTGAGTGGTAAGGTGGAAGTCTAAGAGGGAACTTCCCTACCACAATTCTACTTCAAATATTTTAAGTCCTGCTTACCTTTGCATGTCTCCATCACCAGGTGCTTAGGAGAGGACATTTTGAAGGAGCCTGCCTTTACAAAGGTACAGAACCATCATCTTATGAATGCTGGCCTCCCTTAGAGGGAGTCTTCAGCTTGGCATCCAAAACTGGAGGTTACCAATGAAAAACAGTCCTACTGGGAAATGATACTTCTGGCAGAGAAATGCCCCCAGAATTGAAACCACAGGTTGAGTTATATGCAGTGAAGTTACTGAAATCTATGTAATGACATGGAAAGAATTCCCACTCCAAAACATAGAAATTAACGTTTTTGGAAGTCCTCATGAGTCATAAATATTTCTAATACAGTGTCCCTTTCTGGTCTTTCTCACCACCCACCAGAGTTGCAGAACTAAGGACCCTCAGCCACATATGGACCTGGTGACGGATTATGTTCCTTCCCAGTGTAATCAACACATTTTCTTGTCAGTGAAGGATGTGCAAATGTAGATACTCTGTTAGCTTACACTTAGCCTTGATTTCAGTGAAGTTGTCTTCAACAATCCTCATGAGTGTTTGTAGTCAATTGTGCCAAGAGGTGGAACCCACACCACTCAGCTGGCCACCCGTTAGACAGAAAATTCAGATCCCAGGCAAGTCAATGTTGCTCTTTTACTCAACACACAAGCTACTGTAAAACAAAAACGATTTATGCTTTTTACCTTCTGGATGTACTTTGAACTGTTGTACTCGTTCAAATATCTCCACAGAAACTCTGTACTTTGTATGGAACATGCTTCCTATTCTGCTGCTATGAACCATTTCATCTGTAACTTTATACACATACATATGGCTTGGCATGGTCTAAAGTATTCTACAGTATTACTAACGTGCTGTGCTTGTAAATGTGTGCATTTAATATCTGACTTGTTTAACACTTTACTGATTTTTTTAAAAAATATTTTACTTTTGTGGGGAGGGATGTGGGGGGGTAAATTTCCTAATACTATTTGTGTTTTGTTTGGGGTTTTTGGAAACAATGTGAAGGGGAAAATGCAAAAAACAACTATATCATGATGATTTTTTTTTATGCAGTAGAAAAAATATTGCCCTTTTCTGAAATATCTGCAGTATTATTAAAAATAATACAATAAAAATGAACAGCCACTAAAGTTTATGTACCATTTTACACAAAGAAAGATTCTGTTTGGTTTTGAAGGACACAAGATTTCATCTACTTATGTGTTTTCCAAAATTAAAGGAAATGGGCAAAACCTACTCTGTATTTTAGTTTATATCAACGTATTTTACACAACACTCACCTAACAAATGATCCCAGCTGCCCTGTTAGAGCAGACATATGGCCCTGGATTTTAAACAGGGAACTTAGAAACAAGAGAAGATGTAGCTTCTGTGAATTCTATGTAGCTTCTAGAATCTATGGCTGAAACAAACTGCAGGTTCCTGACCTCACAACTCAAGTGTTAGGAAAGCCATGTAGAGAGTTGCCTTGGGAACCTGTCTGGCCGAAACTTCACCCAACAAAAGCCTCTATTACTTCACAGTAACTCCAGCTTATTGCCTCCATCCAAACGCTACTGCTGAACGGAGGCACCATGGGAAGGTGAATTACATCTGCCAGCTGCTGTATACATCATGCTGGATTAAAATAACCTTCTACACATTTACGTGTAGTCTATGTTCTGCACCTTCCATTACTAAAGGCAACTAGTCTAATTGGACTTGTCACTGGAAGTGCATACACTATCCCTGTCTTCTTCAGCAGCAGGGATAGATGCAGCACATTGCCGAAAAGAAACTGTCACACTAAAGCATTTATTAGAGCTCAAGAGATCTGAGAACTACATGGAAGGTCTGCAGAAGGCAAGAGAGCCCGGTTAAAGTCTGCTGGTGACATCTGAAGCCCTTTCTGCTTCACTGCCTTTCATAATAGGCCATAGGTTGGATATGCTGCTGGACTTCTCTGCTTAGAAATGCTTTGGCCAGTATTATGTTTCAGATTACAGGAACAGAGGGACCATAATCATGTCAATCACAAGAACTTTTTCACTGGAAGGGTTGTCAGGCATTGGAACAGGGTGCCCAGGAAGGTGGTGGAGTCACCATCCCTGGCTGTGTTTAAAAGCTGTGTAGATGTGGTGCGTGGGGATGTGGTTAAAGGAGGATTTGGTAGTGTACGGTAGAGTACGGTTAATGGTTGGACTTGATGATCTTAAAGGTCTTTTCCAACCCAAGTGATTCTATGATTCTAACTATGGCCTCAGTTACAGGCCAACACTATTTATCATGCACCACACAGATGAATCATTCCTCTCCTCTTCCCAAAGGGCTAAAAACTGTCTGCGATTAAGGCATGCCATGCTCAAAAGAGCAAACTACAGCTACTCAGATAGACAGCTCCAGGGCCAATTCTAAGTTGAGTTGGAGCCAGCGCTGTGGAATTTAGCTGTGCTCTGACCACGCTGGTGTCAGCAGAATGGATCAAGGCAACACAAAGCGTGGTAGAGTCAAGACATTGCACCACTTGTGCCTTCACAAGCCTCATGCATTTGGAAAAGGTTTTTTCACACCTGACAGGTGACATCAGGCATGGTTTTATGGTTGCATCCTTCCGTCTGTGAACCAGCACAATTGGGCTTGTCAGCAGGAGCAAGTTCAGCTTTGTGAGATTGGGAGCAAGCTCAGCTGCAGAGTATCACCTTGCCCTGAGCTCTCTTAGAGCAGGCTTGTAAAAAAACGTGGTTCTTTCTAATCAAGTCCTGCTCTTGGGGGTGTTGTTTTGGTTTGGTTTTTGTTTTTTTTTTTTTTTTCCCCCCCTTTTCCAGTGAAACTAGTTTTTATTGTCTGTGTTGAAGTCTAGGAAGAAATTACAAGTCAAATAATGCAGTAGTGGGTCAGTAAGCAGAAACACAGAGAAGAATAGGCTACTAAGACAAAGGTCAAGTAATGTCTTGGTGTTGTCTGCGGGGTTGAAAGCATGATGTATTACACGTGACGTTTGCATCAGCTTTTAACTTTTACTACTTGTTTTTAGCTATTCTTCCCCCAAAACTACCTCAGTTTTTGTTTAATAGTCTCTGCACATTTTCCAAGCTTTTGCCTCAGCCCATGGAACATGTGGTGGGTTCCTGTGACACAGACTTCTCCTGAAGTTTTAGGGACAACTACTTCTGTAGGTACCACTTTGTTCCTTCTCAGTTTGTTCTCCATTTCAGAACACAGCCTCTGCTTCCGCAGGAGGAGGAGGAGGTGGTGGTGTTGGAGGCTATTAGCTAACTGGATTAATTAAAAATAATAGGCACGTGGTGACCATGACTGGGGAAAGCAA